ACCAGGGACCGCCGGGGACCGCCAGGGACCGCCCCGCTCCACACGAGACGATCCCGATATACGCTTCTGAAATATATTCCGCTATTCAATTATTTGATTGTATTTTATTATTAAGTAGTAATTAAAAGACCGTGTACCATGACGTGCTCGTTATAAATTATCTTGCTCTTAAACGTTACATACGTTGTAAATCTTTATTTTCTCAATTATTCTATACCGGCCGATTTAGAAAACCCTTATAGAAACTCGACTATTGTAAACATTTCGTGGATTGTCCCAAACATAAGTAGTGACCTTATAATAAGAAGACATCCCGAATTGCGAACAATATACCTATGACAACAACGAAACAGCTGACAGGGGTCCAGTTAGAAGAACAAGTATCAAGTAGCACCTGATAGTCGAGAAGCGCCCGAACTCGTTCAGGAGCCGCTCCGGCCACGGCCGCGCACCAAACCACCTCCGAACGGTACAAACTGGAAACGACTATCACAAGCACGTGCTTGTCTTGTTGAACCCGTCATTGTACAATAACCAAAACATACGACGCTTCATATAAGAGATTGAGCATATTAAACTAAATCCTGTTATCAATGATTCTAAATAGGGTCGCCTCGATTTCTTTATTTATATGTCATAATTATCACGTTATAATCAGTGACACATAAGGCAAAACAAAAACAAGGAACACAAGTTTGCTATTTTATTATTTAATAATCTATGAATATAAATGATAGTTACTAATACCTAACATGAACATTGTATAAGAAAGTCAAACTTACTGGATACTAAATAACTTGGAACATAAGTATTATTTATTTTTTTGACAACTTTAGAGTAATGAAAAAATGTTATTGTTTAGTATCTCTTTATAGTAACTAGTAAAGTAACTTAACTGTTTTTGTGATAATGTTTTTAAAACAGTACTTGATTGACTCTTGCGGTACACTGGCCAAAGTTAGACTTTAAAAATTATAAGAATCAAGCACAATAATCTAATACGATTCTACTTCACAAGCATAGTTCATACGATTACCAATAACAAACGCCACATGCTTGAGAGTACTTCAGCCTTGTCGCGGGAAAAAATAAAAATAAAGGAGTAAAAAAGGCTTCGCCGCGAAGCTGGATGTCGAAGCATACTCTCGCACACATCGACGTATGAAGCTCGCCGAGCACCGCGATACGACAGGGAATATACGCACGTTATTCACCCACACAGTACACATTCGCTCCGTGCGCTGCTCATTCTCACATACACAAGTCATTTACTTTTATAACTAACCGATATTAATATTTTAAAAAGAATCAATCACAATAGCTACACTTTCGTTGGCGGAGATACAAAAGCGACGGTGAGGCCGAACAAAGAAAAACACGTCACGATCCGATCTTTTACGGACGACATCGCAGATGACGCCGCGATGCGTTGCCGGTGTAATACTATCGTTATCACTTGCGAGCAGAGGAGAC